GTATTATGCCAGCATTATGCCAGCTTATTAAGAACCATAGATGCTGAGTTCAAATCCCAGTGTTACATAAAAGGAGGAGGGTGGGATCAAATCCCCATATTCCAGATGAAGAAGTGGAAGGTCACAGAGGTTAAGTGATAGGTACAGACCTGGCAATGGCTCTGGCACTGGGCCCTGAGTCAGCTCATGTCCAAGTTAGAGCTCTCCCCCACATATACTCATCTCAGGAAATTTGGCTGGTGGCCCAGCATACTTAGCACTGGGAAAGTTCCAGACTAGCATCTTCCTTGTCTGCTCCGGAAGCCCTTTTAAGACAAGGTAGAACCTTCCATAACCAATCTACAGATATCAGTCAGGCCAGTAGCTCTCCTTTGCCACTGTCTACTTCTGTGGTGAGTTCTCTTTCCATATGTTAAGAATTGACATTTCTGTTGGCTCTAGGTGGGCTGTGCCATCTTCTCTGGGCAATCATGTGTGACAACACCCCTGGAATATTACCAGCTAGCACAAGAAGTGTGTGATTCTAGGGATCAAACTTGGCCTTGAATATGCTAGCCACTTTTTCTACCACTGAGATACACCCTCAGATTTTAACATGTTACCAAATGAAATATACAGATATCAAATGAACTCATGGAAAAAAAATACATTAAAACAACAACAACAAAAACAAGCTCATTGTTTTTAGTCACTGGGGAAATGCAAACTTAAAAATCCAATAAGAGCTGAGTGCTGGTGGCTCACGCCTCTAATCCGAGCTACTCAGGAGTCTGAGATTTGAGGATCGCAGTTCAAAGCCAGCCCAGGCAGTAAAGTTCGTGAGACTCTTATCTCCAATATAACGCTCAGAAAACCGGAAGTGGTGCTGTGGCTCAAGCGGTAGAGCACTGGCCTTGAGCTGAAGAGCGCCCAAGCCCAGAGGTCAAGCCCCCATGACCACCACCACCAACAACAAAAGTCCAGTACGACACCATCACGCCTCACTAGGATGGCTGAGATTAAAAGACAGAGTTCATGGAGTGTTGAAGACGAGGAGGAACCACAGGAACTCTCATGCATGAGGGTCTGAGGAGAGGCATCTGAAACACTGCAACCAACTGGGAGATTTCTTAAAAAGTTACCTGTATGATTCCATTTGTGTAAAGTTCTAGGTGATTGTGAGTATATTTAGAGTGTGTGGTTAGCATGTGTGAAGACTGGGTTCAATCTAGACACCCCCCAAAAAAAAATTAACCCAAAATCTGGCACATGCGAACTAATGGAGAGTGGCAGAAATCAGATGAAACCAATGACTAATTACTGGCAGAGTCTTCAAGTCTGACTCTTGTGCTTTCACTCAGCTTCTACCCCTCAAGGCTGGTGGTGCACTGCCATTTGAGCTACACTTCCAGTTCCAACCTTTTTTCCCCTAACTAATCAGAGATTAAGATTCTCACAGATTTTTCTACCTGGGTTGGCTTCGAACTGGGTTCTTCAGATCTTAACCCCCTGACTAGCTAGGATAACAGGCCTGAACCACTCCTGGGTTGGAATTTCTGTTAAAAAAAAAATCAACTTCTCCAGTTGCTTTGAATATACGCAGCTTAATGTCTGCCAATTATACCTCATTAAAGCTATTAAAATAGAACCTCTAGGGATATGTATGATCAGCTTACATATCTTCATACTAAATACTAATAGATCCAAACTACTGGATGTTAGGTCTGCCAGGAAAAATGGCTCCTTTCCCATTGTTCTTCCTGGGTGCTCAGGTGGCCCCTTCCCTAGAAGCCCCTCCCAGCATTGGTAACCTAGGTAACTGGCACACCTGGAGGCACACTGGGAGGTTCCCCCAGTCTCTGAGGTCTTTGCTGGGGCCACACCTCCTCCCTGCCCTCTCCCTATAGATCAGTCTGTATGGTTAGTTCCGCCCCTCGTTTTGCCCTGCCCCCTTGCAGCCTTTCCCTTGTCCCTGGCTCCTTCTTCCCCTGAACCCCTTACATCCCCTGCAAGCCTCTATCTTGTGCAGGCTGGCAGACTCTTTTCTACCTGAACCATGTGGCTATCTCCATTCCACTAAACTTAAACTGGAGACCAAATTCACCAGCTACTAGAGGGAAGGGAAAGGCAGTTTATGGGGGTCCCAGAGATAAGAGTCTTATTTTGCAGACAGCGCATGTTCTCTTGAAAGTCTGGGACAAGGTTTCATGCAGTGCTGGGACCCTGAAGTCCGCAGGTCTTGTAGTTTGCAGGGGGCGGGGGAGGGGTAGGTTTGCTTTCATTCAACCCCTGGCAAAGGGTTTTGCTGCTTTGACAAAACTAAAAGGGGAAGATCCTCATTTGTAACTGGTTCTGAATTTCACCCTGGAGGTGACTCCCGGGTGCCTGCAAAACCACAAATTCCTGATTCCCACTTTGGTTTATTCTAATAAGAACGAGGCTGATCCCTTAATCTCTGTTTAAAGGGCCGGTGTTTATTGACACTATAAAATCTGGGCAAACAGGTCATAAATCACTTTTCCCTCCTGTCCAGGATGTGGGGCAAGCACAGAACTCAGCCTGGACTTGTGGAGCGAAAATATTGGGAGATCTTTGTTTCTCTGCTGCTTATTATTGAAAAAAACTGCCTCCCCCTATATCTAGGCTGGGAACCCCTTTGGTCCTGTACCTCCAGGTCTACAGTGCCTGAGGGGTAATCCACCCCAGGACTCCTTTTTTTATTCCACCTGGGGTTGGTAGATTGGAGGCACCAGTAGGAAATGAATAGAGACCTTCTAAGCATGTCAGGTCACAGCTCCTGTAGTGACTGTGATTTTTCTGCCAAGGGCTACAGTTCCTTTTCTTTATCTTGTCAGTTGTGGGACTTGATCACTGTCCCTGAGCTTTTTTTTTTTTTGGTGCCAGTCCTAGAGTGTGGGCCTGGGCACTGTCCCTGAGCTTCTGTTGCTCAAGGTTAACAGGTGTGAGCCACCGGTGACCTTCTGAGCTACAGTTCTTTGCAGGTGGCAAGCACCTCTTTGGTAACTCTCCCCATTCTCTTTCCTCCCCCTCTCCTTTCTACTCTCTCCCTTCTCCCTCAATCACTCAACACCTCCTTGCCTTCCTTTCTCCTCCAGGCCTACTGGTGTGAACAATATTCCTTGGTCACATTTTTGTTCATAATTTCATTTATATATTTATTTATTTACTGATTGGTTGCCAGCACTAGGGTAATTGGACTCAGGACTCTGAGCTTGCTTGCCCAGCTGGTGCTCTACCACTTGAACCACACCTCCAGCCCAACTTTGTTTTTGCTGGTTATTTTGGAGATAGAGGCTTCTAGCTGGCTTCAAACTGTGATACTCCAGACCGTAGCCTCCTGAGTAGCTTGAAATACAGGTATGAGTCACTGGCACCCTGCCATAGCTTTTAATTGATGTCACTTTAATTTTTTGTGGTCTTCCAGATTGAATCCTGGCATGCTGCGCACAGGCTCCACTACTAAAGCCAAGCCCCAGCGATCCCACTTTGAAAATAGGATCCCAGTGACTACACTGAAGGGAACAATTAACCCTCCACGGAATTCGATTTACAAAATGGAATTGTTATGCAATTAAAGCCCCAGAGCAATTCTTCAGCCCCAGGAACTGCTCCACGGAAGTCCTCTTGTCCTCTCCCCACCCCCACTCTTCCTTAGCCCAAACTTGGTCCTGGGGCTTGGACTCAGGCCCTGGGTGCCCCCTCTTGGCTTCTTTTGCTCCAGGCCACAGCTCCAGGTAAATAAACCCAAGTTTATTTACCTAAACTTCCCAGAGGTGATGGAACTTTCTCCCCTCTTCCATTGAAGGCCCTCATTGTCCCTCTCCCCTTCCGGTTCCTTTTCACCTCGCCCCAATTCGGTCCCCACAGGCCCAGGCCGCAGAGCATTCGTTGGAGTCCAAGCCTCCAGTCGCTCCCCACAATTTGGCCAACACTCACCCCCTTTTCAAGTCAATATTTTTAATGTTGTTTGATTTTTAGCCAAAAGTTATTATTATTATAGTTTTGTCGGCCCTGGAGCCTGAACTCTGGGCCTGGGTGCTGTCCCTCAGCTCTTCAGCTCAAGGCTAGCATAGCTCTACCACTTCTGGCTTTTTCTGTTTATGTGGTGCTGAGGAATCGAACCCAGGGCCTCATGCAAGCAAGACAAGCGCTCTACCACTGAGCCACCTTCCCAGCCCCAAAAGTTTTTTTGTTTTTAGTTTTATTTTTTAAATCGATTGCCTTTGCACGCTGGGGCCCTGGGATCCACCTCCAGCACCGGAAACGCGTTGTAACACCTGGTCACAGCAAGTCTCATGCACTCCTGGGGTCTCACATACATACATACCTAATGCACATAAACACATATACATGTGTATATATAATACAGTGTAAGTGCATATAAAGACGCTCACAAGTGACTCCCTGCGGGCTCCGACTTCGCAGGGGGTGGTGAGGGAGGGCCCAGGGGTCCCCGCGAGTCGGGTCCCCGAGGTCGGGGGTCAAGGGGCGGGGCTCGAACCTTCCGCACCGCCGCACTCCCGCACTCCCCGCGCACCCCAGACCCCAAAGCAAGACCCTCCCAGGCTGGCCAGGATTCTCGGGGCAGGGGCGGGGGGAAAAATCTTCCCATTCCCCGCTACCAGGCCCCGCGGGCATCCACGCCGGAGCAGCGGGCGTCGGCGCGGGCTGAGCTAGCGGGCGGAGGGAGGGGCGGTGCGTTCGGGAGGGGCGAAACCACTGGGGGCAGATCAGGGCAGCCTGCCATGTCACGCCCCTTCCCGCCCCCGGCATCGTGATGGACAGAACTCCTGGCCAGTCACAGCGCGTGTGTGGTCTTCAGGGCCAGCCCGGCGGGGAGAGCAGACACACTCCGGAGGGGGCGGGGAAGTCTCCAGTTGGGGGCGGGGCATCCTGGCGATAGACGGCGCTCCCAGCCAATAGGAGGCGGGATCCGTCCCGTTAGCGCCGGATCCCCGCGGGCAGGGCGGGGCAGGCGGCGCCGCGGGGATCCCGGGGCGGCCGAGGGCCCCTGACTCGGCTTGGTGAAGCAACATGGACCGGATGGCCAGCTCCATGAAGCAGGTTCCCAACCCGCTGCCCAAGGTGTTGAGCCGGCGTGGGGTCGGCTCCGGGCTGGAGGCGACGGAGCGCGAGAGCTTCGAGCGGACTCAGGTGAGGACTGTGGACCTCGGGCATCGCGGGCACTGGACGGCGCGCGGGTCGGGGCGGCTGTGGAGCGGGGTCTTGCGGGTCCGGCCAGCGCGGCCCAGGAGCT